GTTAAGGTGAGCATTAAACTGCTCCTTGCTCGCATCCAGGTGGCCGGTGTAGGGCTTCATCAGCCACGGCATCAGGGGGTAGGCGGCATCAGCCACCATGCACACCGGCATGTGCCCATCCGCGAGCCCGGTTAAGGTGAGCATTAAACTGCTCCTTGCTTGCATCCAGGTGGCCGGTGTAGGGCTTCATCAGCCACGGCATCAGGGGGTAGGCTGCGTCAGCCACTATACACAGCATGTGCACATCCCCAACCGCAAAGTTGTGATGCGGGAAAAATGTTCCTGCCTGAAGCCTCCGGTAGAGGTACGAGTTCCTGAAGATGCGGGCATCATGTGCCCACCCTGACCACCCAACACAAATGTCAGAAAACTGGCCACGATGGTCGACCAGGGCCTGGAGGACCATAGAAAAGTAGCCCTTTCTGTTAATGAATTGGGCTGCTCGATGGGGCGGTGCACGGATTGGAATGACGCTGTCCAGATCTGGTAGACAGACGAGCCTGTTGAGCAGCTCCGAATTGATGGCCCTCACCACCTGCAGAACGAGACAGACAACAAAATGTTAGAAGGGGTGCCTTATCTCTTAGGAGGAGAACCCACCACCCACCTTCCCTCTCAAACACCCCGGGAATCCCCTCCTCAGAACTCCCCCCCCAACAATTCAGGGTGAGTGGAGGAGCTCCCTCCCACTCCCACTCCACTTGGCCCTTTCTGACAGTCTCCCTTCCCCCCACCCCAAACTGTGACTGTCCCCAGACAATGACTTACTTCCATCAAGATGTATCCAACAGTAGACCTGCCCACTCCAAATTGGTGTCCCACGGAGCGGTAGCTGTCGGGGGTTGCCAGCTTCCAGAGGGCAATGGCGACCCTCTTTTCCACGGGGATAGCGGGCCGCAGGTGGGTGTCTTGCCGTTGCAGAGCAGGGGCAAGCCAGGTACACAGCTCCTGGTGGTCTTTCGCATCCGGAAGTTGCGTAGCCACTTTTGGTCATCCCAGAGCTCCATCACAAGCCGGTCCCACCAGTCAGAGCTGGTGTCAAGCCTCCAAAAACGCCTGTCCACAAAGAAGTTTGGAGGCAAGGGCAATGCGGCTGCATGACGGACGATCCCTCCGTACCTCTGGTCTGGGTCCAGATGGGGAAGTAGCCTCATGACTGTGTCATGCAGATGCAGCAACACTTGCTGCATGATGGCGTGGGGCCATCGCCTGCCCAGGGGCAGCTCTGGCTCCATGCCAAAAAAATGGGTCTACAACAGAAAAACTCCAAACCAGCACTGCAATGCCTTGCTTACCTCCTAGAGGGACAGCGAAGACAGCTGCAGAAGCAGAACAACGGGTGTTCAGGGGCGTCCCTTTAACCACGCGTCTCTGCAAAGGGCAGGCAGCAGCACCAGGAAGGAAATGCTGCCCCCATGCCCTGGCAGAAGCGGTTCCGGGTGGCTTTGAATTTCAAAAGAGCATCCAGCAGTCAGGACGCTCTTTTTCTAAAAAGCGGATCGATTTTCCGATCCGCGTATTGTAGTCTAGACACGCTCTTTCGAAAGAGGCTTGCAGTCTAGACATAGCCTGAGTTCAAACATTTACACAGCAATTAAATAGCCCTTAGCCTGAACGTGCTGACATGGGTCAGACACAGGATTTAACACTACAGTATAAACATACCCTTTTAGAGGCTTGCCACAAGCACAGGGACTGAGAATAGTTAAGGACAGTGGAAGAAAAGGAACACAGTCAAACAAAACCATTATTTTAAAAGGTTCCTGGGAATAAGGAGGTAGAAATGAGGCAAAAATATGAAGGACACACTTCCACTTAAAATATAAAGTGGCCCCTGTGTACAGACATATTCTTTCTAAAGCAGCAGCAGTTTTGCTAACAGAGCATAACAGAATCACACTCATATTCTTGAGCTTTTTCCTGAGACAAGACTTTCATCCATTTAATGCCAGCTCCTGCCAGTACAGGCACTTGCTCCTCCCTCCTTGCTGCTGCTCTCTGATCGAGGCAGCAAGGGAAGGGGAAGTGACTAGTTGCATCACCTAGTCAACTCTCTGATAATTAATTATCCGATAAGCATAAGCTTGACTAGTCACTTACATCCCTATCTCGGCTAAGAGCCTACACATCAAGAACTTGGTGATTGATATATGTAATGTATTCACCTTAATCTCACTCTCAACCTTTTCTTTCTTTAGTAATAAACCTTTACATTTTAGTTTCTAAAGTGATAGAAATGTAGCCGTGTTAGTCTGGTGTAGCTGAAACAAAATACAGGACTATGTAGCACTTTAAAGACTAACAAGATGGTTTATTAGTAGATGAGCTTTCGTGGGCCAGACCCACTTCCTGAGATCAAATAGTGGAAGAAAATAGTCACAGCCATATATACCATGTGACTATTTTCTTCAACTATTTGATCTGAGGAAGTGGGTCTGGCCCACGAAAGCTCATCATCTAATAAACCATCTTGTTAGTCTTTAAAGTGCTACATTAGGTTTGAGTTTCTAAAGGACTGGCAAAGTGTGCTCTTTTGAGTATGATCTATGGGTTAAATTGAACTGGGACTGTGGCTGGGCCTTGCAACTGGGAGAACCTGTTAGGAGTTGGTGAGATTGGGTTTATAACCTCTCATCTGTGTAAGATACAGGTCTGATTGTGGCCCAGGTAAAGCTGGGATGTTGGAGGGGTTTTGCTCGTGAGGCTTCCAGCTGCCCAGATTGGCAGTTGAAGTGCTCTGTGTGACTGGTTTGATGCCTTAAAGGAAAGGACTCCAGCAATAACCCCTGAACTGACACCATCAGTGGTGCTCAGACCGGACCCAGTATATTACAATGGGACAGTGGGAAACTTGGTCACACCCATCATGAGTGGGCATCCATCCAACTAAAATCATGCCGGATCACGAGTGTTGCCGGACCAGAGAGTGCCGGATTAGAGAGGTTCAATCTGTAGTGTCAATTTAACAAAGACATGCCTAAATACAGAGATATAATGCAGCAGACTGTCCACAGAAATCTCCCACTTGAAACCAAATTTTTATCAAAGAGCGTCAGTGGTGGGCATCCTGCAGCAGCCCCACCCCATCTTCCCTTCTCCCCCATGCACCTCTCACACACTGGAGCACTGGAACTCTCACTCCTACTCTTCACTGCGAATCTGCTGATTCCCACTCTGCTCTTTTCCAGAGCTGAAATGCTGTGAATTGCATGACTGACCAAATCGCTGGGAAGGGGAGGGGTGGGACAAACCACGAATCAGCAGATTTGTGTGCTCTGAAAGTGCTGGGAGGGACAAGGAGTAGGAAAAGTGGAGCGCCAGTTCCCCAGTGTGTGAGAAGTACATGAGAAGTAGTACAGACTGAGGCTGCAGGTGGAATTCCAGGGGGCCATAGGTTTCTGCGGCCCACTGAGGTGAAGGAGGGCCACTCATGTGGCCCACTCCCTATTTTTGGTTGCCCATCACTGCTCAAAGAACTTGGAACAGTGCAAGATTAATTCTTCAAGGTTTCTTACCAGGGTACCTTCAGATGATTACTGGTAGATCTGTGACATCACACCAGCCTTTGTAAACAATATCACAGCAAAACCATCATTTAGAGCAGGGGTGGGCAAAAGGGCCTCTGCAGGCTGTATCCGGCCCCAAGGCGAGGCAGGGGAGGAGGAGACTTCACTCGCTCCCCTACCCCCAACCCTGATTAGCCTTGGGGTGGGAGGAGTGTCCCTGCACTCCCGAGAGGAGCGTGTGGTGTTTAGAAGCGTCATGCACTTCTGTCAGGGTGGGAGGAGATTTAGCATGCTTCCCCGCCCCCAACCGCTGATTGGCCAGGGCGCAGAAGAGAGAGCCGCAAAGTCTCCTTGCACCGCCTGCGGCATGGGAGCCTAGGGGAAATCTTAGGGGAGGGGGAAAGCAAAGGTGCTCCCCCACCCTCAGACCAATCATGGTCTGCGAATGAGGAAGCAGAGAAGTATCCTGACCCCACCCCTTCCGGTGTGTCCCGGGGCCACTTCAAAAATTTCTGAAGTGGCCCCGGCAAAAATTATTGCTCACTCTCGATTTAGAGTCAACAAAAAGGAAATTAAAAAATAATTAAGTTCAACTAAATTAAAAGATTATCCAGTTTTGGTAGCCGATATTTTCCAAACTTGACAAACATCTCAAGAGATCATCTGTGAGCTAGAGCATAAGGCAAATTCTGAAAGATCCTTTTTACATATTACGCTACATGGCTAATTGAAGACCATACCAAGTCAAATAGGAACAAGCAACACAGGAAATAAACAATGATGCATCACAAACTTCAAAGAGTCTTTACAGATAAAGAGTCTGAAAAAATCAAATCAAGGGTAAGAAGATCTTACGACCTTCTCTTTGTAAAAGAACTCTGAAGCACACTCAGTGTGATGGTAAGAAATACATCACTAAATTCTATAACTGAACAGTTATCTTTGCTTCTGCAGCACACAATAATTAAAATTAAAATAAATTTACGTAATTGTTGTCTTGTGGTTTCATCATGGAATCCAGAATCTGAGTTTTCATCTTTGTAGTCACATTTAGTTCTCCAGTGGTCCTGAACAAGTCACAGCCTTTGATTCAGCATTCCCATTGCTAAACTAGGAATAACATTTTGTCCACACTCCAAAGATTACTGTGAGGATTACATAACATTCATAAATTACCATGTTATAAATCAGGGCTACTCAACATACGTCCTGGGGCTGCATGCGGCCTGTGGTGTGGTTTGGATTTACGCAGGGTTCAACACGCGGCCCGCAGGTGGGAGCCAAAACAAAAAAGTAGTCAATACAATGGTCTTCTGTTGATATAAGTTTTAGTAGTTAAATTCCTGGACTGTAATGGCTCAATAAAATTCTGTCAAATGGGTGGAAATCAGGTAAATATTGCATTTTATTAATATCAATAGAACTGACCTAAATGGGCCCTGCATGTTGCGTAGTCTTGCCTTAATCTTTGTATTCATGCCCATCAGTGTGAAAGAAGCTATTTGCATACATATTTGCATGTATATGCAACCACACTTAAATTGCGGCCCTGGCATGTGCTGAGAGTATTATTGTGGCCCCCTGGGACTTCCAAATTGAGTAGCCCTGCTATAAACTGGTAACTTCCACTGATTTAACATATTGATATTTCAGTATCATGCCCCATTATACAGTAGTCACAAAATACTACTTATGTTTAATTATTTAAATACTTAATAGAAGCTACAGTGCAGTTAAAGATTCTTATTACCACTAAACTGCCAGTAAATGGAGGGCTCCAAAAAGTTACGTTCCTGCTAAGCTGTGTGGTTGTACAGCTTCCCATTAAGCCCCATGCAGAGGCTCCAGCCTGCAATAAGGAGAGATGCCACTCTCCAAGCCCCAAAGCTGCTGCAGCCAGAGGAGAGGGGTCCTTCCCCGAAGACCCCAAGACAGAGCTACCACTGGCAGGAGAATACCATGCTAGGGCCAGCAGGGAATGGCTCTTTCCCACAGCCAGGACAGCTCCATGCTGGGGCCAGCCCGGAAGCAGCAAGATCAACAGTTCCGGACCCACGGCACATGGACCACAGGGTTCCCACATGCTGCAAAGCCTCATGCCCTCCCCACTCAGGAGCCGGACTTGCTGACTGCTTCCAGGGCACAACACGGTGTCTCAGGACAGGGAGGCACCTTGCCTTAGCACCTGCTGACCAGGAGCCACCTAGGTAAGCCCAAACCCCAACTCCTTCCCCCTGACACCCCCAGAGCCCAGAGTCCCTCCTGCACCCCAAATCATTCATCCCCAGAATGCCAACCCTCTGTCCTAGCCCTGAGCACCCGATCCCTGGCTCCACATTAGAGCCTGCACCGCCAGCCAGAGCCCACATGCCCTTGCACCAGGCCTGAGCCCGATAGCACCACTTAGAAACCCTTGGCCTCACTCCCACCACGTGAATTTTGTTACAGGCACCAATATGAAGGTGGTGGCTCCTGTGCATTTCAAAGGGAGAGGCAGAGTGGGGGTGGTGGCACAGCAGGATAGTGAGCACCCCGCTTATCGACTAATCGAGTAGTCAAAGGAAATTCCATTGATTACTTGATTAGCTGATTAATAGAAATTTAACATCCCTAATAGGAAGGGAAAAAATATAATGTCTAGCTCTGTTTCCCAGATAATAGCAAATATCGGAAATTGCAAATATTGGGAAAAATCAACTATAATTAGGCAGGCCAACAAAGAATCTGAAGCACATCTAGCAAAAGACAACAGCAACTTTTTAAAGTATATCAAAAGCAAGAAACCTATCAATCAGCAGAGCCACTGGACTGCTGAGGTGCTAAAAGAGCATTAAAGGAAGACAAGGCCGTTGTCTTTACATTTGCCTTCACTGCAGAGGATGTGAAGGAGAGTCCCACCCTGAGTCTGAGTTTTAGGGAACAAATCTGAAGAACTTTCTCTGATTGAGATAACAATACAAGAGGGTTTATATATCAAATTGATGAAATAAAAAGTTACCATAACCAGATGATATTTACCCAAGAGTTCTGAACAAAATAAAAAAATGAAATTGCAGAACTTCTACCAATGGTATATAACCTATGATTTTAATCAGCTTCTGCTCCAGATGCCTGGAGGATAGCTAATGTGACGTTAATTTTTTTTAGAAGGCTCCCAAATAGGGATGTGAAAGGTTAACCGGTTAACTGGCAAGTATCATCCAAAACGGGTAATCATCAGGCACTTAGACAAACACTCTTTTTGCTGGGAAAAGGTAAACAGAGCTTTTGCAAAAGAAAATCATGCCTCGCCAAACTATGAGAGCTTTCCAAGATGGTTAATAGTCATGTGGTCAAGGACGATTCAATGCATAAACAGGCAGTCCCCGAGTTACGCGGATCCGACTTATGTCGGATCCACAGTTACGAACGGGGCTTTTCTCGCCCCGGAGGACGGGAGCGGCGGGACACCCAGATGCGTCCTCCGGGGCGAGAAAAGCTGCTCCCCATCTCCTGGTCAATGCAGGCGCGCTTGGGCTGTCCCCCTGCGGGCGTGCTCCGCGGCTTTGCTCCCCGTCTCCCTGGTCTGCAGGGAGACGGGGAGCAAAGCCTTGGAGCACGCC